TGTAATAAAAAAATTTTTAACAAATCATGATATATACACTTATATGCTGTAGTATGTATGCATTTAAAGGAAAATTCAGGATTTTATATCATTCGATAATTTAGACTTCGAGATTTTGTACCATTCGGGATTTTGGATTTCGAGATTTTGGATTTCGAGATTTTAACCTTTCGATATTTTGGATTTCGAGATTTTGGACGGCACCCTGAATTGTAATCACAAGAAAAAAAAAAAATACTTTAAACATAAATATATAAAAGTTTAAAAAATGTAGCGGTCAAATTCAAACATAAATTTGAGAATGAATTGCTGCGCTAAAACTTTATTAAAGGGAGAAATTATTATATCCATGCAAATTTTCTCTAAATTCTCCAAGTATATTTAAAGAAAAGATATTCTATAAATTATTACTCTAGAATTTTATCGTTAAACTTTCTTATCATAAGTATTTGAGCTGCTAAAGTTGCTTTTACTTTTGGATAAATAAACGATTGAGAAGAAAGAACAAAATTTACTTTGTATGCTAAATTTGATATTAAAGACGTATCCAAAATTAGCATTAACTCATAAATTTATATTCGGCACTTTCTTCTTCTAATGCAAATTATTTGCCCAGTAACGTCCTTCAATTCCGAATTATTACCTTTCTTCCAGATACAGTATAAAATAATTCAGAGAGGGCTTATAGTATGGATCCTCGCCATATTTATAAAACATTAAGATGTTGTTATTGATAAATGAAAAATTATCGCTCTTAATATGCATCTCGTAGAGCAAGTCACGATATTATATAACCAAAAGGGTATTTTAGTGCACATGAAAGGATTTATGGGCAAACTTTGCAATGTATAATCCAATAAGTATAAACTAAATTTCTATGAATTCGTTCCTAGATTTTATTTTTTTTAATTAACATCATTTGCGCTTATTCTTTAATTAAAACGGTTATGTAAAATATGCCATATAGTATTCGCCTAATCTTTCCGGCAGATATGAATACAGGAACTATAAAAGTTATGATAAATATTTTTTAAACATAACGATTGATGAAAAAAAAAATATTTGCAAATTCCATAAAAGATAAGATTTTCATTTACATCTATTATAAGGTTAGTGTGCCTTACACAGTAAAATAAATAATTATTAAAGTTCAAGGAGTACTTTAATATTGTCTACCTCTTATGTCGTTGACTTACCCTATTATTCTAAATTTAACTTTCTGATTGTAGCTATTTATTTAAAATTTCGAAACGATTTTTCTTTTTTTTTTTTATGTTAATACGTGGGACCAATTAAATCCATAAGAACTTTTAAAAAAATTTTTATGGTCGATTTCAGTGAGAAAGAACGTATTTATTTACTAAAGTACAAAAATATAAAGTATCTTTTATTGAATTTACAGAATTTTTAAGATTATCGTTATATTACATTTTGTTTGAATAAATTAAATCATTTAATCAAACCGGTAAAATGTCCAACATTGACCTAAAGTCTTAATATTGTCGAAATACTACGTTCATGCATGTCTTTAAATAACAATTAGAATACCAATCTTTATCTTTATACGTTTGAGCAATTTCATCCCTCTTATAATAAGTTATGTGAGGACCGAATTTATAAAAAGCATCTTTAAACCAAACAGGAGTGAAATAAGCCTTGGTCCCAAAATTTTCTTTATTTACATTTTGGTCGGTATTATCATCCGTACGAATCATTTCCCAAAATTCTCCAGGTTCTGGGAGCGATTCGAATTCAAATTTCGTTAAGACGGGTAATGAAGGATCAGGGTATTCGACACTTGGTGATATTGATCCATTGACGTTTTCCGCTGGTATCGGATACGTTATAACTGAATATGTGGTGAATATTATAAGAATAAAGATAATGGTGAGAATTGATGGTTTATAATTATTATTCTTCATTTTCATTTTCTGTTCGTGATTAGTTATAATTTTTCTTTTAAAAAAAATTTTTTTTTTTTTTATTTTTTTTTTGTCATTTAAATACCATTTTTTTTTATCTAGAATTTTACGATTAGGGAATACAAGTAAACAGAGAATGGAAACACTTGTATGAATTGAGAGACAAATTGCATTATGATTGAATGTTACTATACTCGTTTTAGTTCACCGTCGTCTGTAGATCTTTTTAACGCCTTTGTTTTAAAAAAAGAAAAGGAAGGGTGTTACCATAAGAAATATGTAGTGAAATGGGTGATATTTTACAATTTTATATAATTAGAAGTGTGTTTTCGAAGTCGAGAAAAGAATTTCGAATCTAATGATGTAATATAGTGGGGTTTCCATCGCCCATAATATGTCGTGTGTCTATTCCAAAATTTTATGTTGAATCTTATTAAAATATCGAGATTATGACCAATTAATTTCATTTGTTGAATCAATCAAAAAAAAAAAAAATTTCGTTTTACCCCTATTCTCAAAAGATATAGAATTTTCCAATCTGAGCATCATTTAAGTTTTAGGCCATTTCCTTTGTTTGTGTGTTCCTTTGTTACAATTCAAAACAATGTATCGAAATAATACTAATTATAGAGTTGTGTTGTTATCTTTTTGATTTTATTTGACCTTTCCCGTTTTTTAATAATCGGGAAATTCTTCGTCTGAAAGTTGGAATTCAGACGATCTTCGGGTGAGATTCCAAGTTTAGTTAACTGAAATTGGAATTCCAATTTCAGACACCCTTTTTTGTTATCTGAATTCCAACTTCAGACAACTTATAAAAAATTATTTTAAGACGAATTTTAACTTAAACTTTTTATAAATATTTTCAAATTTTAATTATAGATTTAATTTTTTTTATTATAATAGAGTAATAAAAAAAAATAAATAAAGAAACATTTAAAAATTATAAAAATTTTATTAAAATAAATTGCTTATGTACAGATAATAGATTACTTTAATTTTAATTTATAAATACACAATTTGTATAAAATTCAGAAGTTCAATTTCAGATATCTTAATTTCAGATGATCTTGTATCTGAAATCCAGAAATTGAACTTCAGATATAAACTCAATTTCAGACGGCCTCGTATATGAAATTCAGATTCTATCTGAAATTGAATTTCAGATATCTTAATTTCAGACTGCCTTGTTTCTTTAATTTCAGATATCCTAATAGTTACACAGAAATTGACCAATAAGATCATGACTGAAATTGGAATTCAGATAACAAAAAGGGTATCTGAAATTGGAATTCCAATTTCATTTAACTGATCTTTGAATCTCAATTTCAGACACTCAAAGATCGTCTGAATTCCAAACTTCAGACGAAAATCAATTCAGTCACAACACCGACGTCGATTATACAATTGCAACCGCCTTGTTTCTCGAACATTCTGAAAATAGATATTTACCTTTTTAAAAAAGATAACGTGATTTATCATGGTGTTACATCAAGACTTTAAAAATTTCACGGTAAAAAAAAAATTTCACAATCATGACCTATTTCCCCTATAGAGTCGATCAATCATTTTCAATCTCTTTTCAGAAGAGAAAAATTTGTACAGATTTAAATATAGATGTTACCAATTCAATTCTATTATATGGCCCTTCTGGAACAGGTTAATTATAGATCGATTTTTTAATCGTTTCGTGAATTGTATATATAATCGATCAACTTTTTGTAGGGAAATCGTTTGCCGTTCAAAGTTTAAGTTCAAAATATAAAGCAAAGGTAAATTAAATGCTATATATATAAAGAAATGCCATTGTTCAGCATGTAACGAGATTTCTATTGGGCGTTTATGATTTTGATAATATTTTAACGTCAGCATTTAAAGACCGATATATGGATCTTACATGTTTAATTAATTAATTATTTTTTTTAGTTATTTACACTTACAATTGGTGATTTGGCCGCTGAATTTCCTGCTGAACCAGAAAAAGGATTAAGGCATTATTTTAACCTTGCTTATAAAAATCAACCAAGCGTGTGTATGTGTACGATGTATGCATCGCATCAATTTTAAAATTCTTTTGCAATTTGAATGAATTAATTTTACTAAATTTTATTTTTATTTTCTTTTATTTATTTATTTATTTATTTTTTGCAAGTTTTATTAGAAAATATAGAATTAATTTTTCCATTGGATAGTCAACCTTTGCTTTCGTTTTATTTTCGTGAATTATTTCATACGTGGATTAACAATGAACATCATATTCTTATTGTAAGTTTCTTTTATCAGTAATAATATCATTACTTGCTACACAAATCGAATTAAGATATTGTTTTTAGGTTGGAACTTCGACGAACCATTCACGGATCAATCCTATTATCCGAACAATATTTCAAGTAAATCAGTCTTTTAAAAAAAAAAAAAAAACAAATATTCATTCTTGAGAATCATATGCCTAATTTTCATTAATTTGTGTCTTAGGATGAAATTGAATTTAATATTCCAAAACCTATTCAAAGATTAGAAATTTTAAAATATTGTGTCATGGACTTAAATCTTGAGAACGATGTAAATTTAAAAGAAATCAATGATCGATGTCATGGATATATAGCAGCTGATGTTGCAGCGTTATGTAGAATGGCTTTAGAACAGTGTGATATTAGAAGCATTCAACAAACAGGTTTCTTGCCTTTTATTCAAAATATTACATCTTGATTCATAATTTTAATACTTGTGTGATTTAAATTTTAATATGTATAGCCGAACCCGGAAACTTGTTGATTTCAAATGAAGATTTTCAAAAAGGTTTTCAAAAGATTAGAATAAGCAGTTTACAAGAGAAAGCCAGTGTAGAAAAAGTGGAATCTGTTAAATGGAGTGATATTGGTGGTTTAGATGATGTTAAAGTAATCATCATATTTTAAAAGATTTTCTTTAATGAGATTTTAATTTAATTAATTTATCGACTGTTTGTATGGTTCATCTTCATGAAGAAAATGCTGGAGGAATCTGTTATATGGATATATAAACATGCTGATGCATTACAACGTCTCGGAATTAAAGCGACAAAAGGCGTTCTTTTGTAAGATAAACAAGTTCAAGTTATCAATCATAATGCGTGTTATTATCAACACCTAATAATTGTTTAAATAGATATGGACCACCAGGAACCGGAAAGACTTTATTGGCAAAAGCAGTTGCGACGGAATCATCAGCTCATTTCATGCCAGTATCGATACCAGAATTAATCAAGTGTGAGGTAATATAACTTTTTTTTTTTTGAACTTTCAACTTGAAAGATCACGCTAACCTTTTTATGAATTTAGGTAGGCGAATCAGAAAAGGCCATCGCAAATATTTTTCGAATCGCGATCCAGTGTAGTCCTTGTATCATTTTTTTGGATGAATTGGAGGCTATATTCGGTAATAGGGATTCAAGTGGTTTTTTGGGCAAAAAGGTAAATAATAATAAATACTTATTTTTTGTTAATTTTTGTAAACGTTATAGTAGTATATTGGATAAAACCTTTCTTTCTTTATCTTTAGTTAGTTTCGCAACTTTTACTAGAATTAGATGGATTGAATGCTGTAGATCAAGGAGTTGTGATCCTTGCTGCAACTAATAATCCAGAAGTTATCGATGCTTCTCTTTTAAGACCAGGTAAATTAATAATATAGTTCGTCCTAATTGACAATTCCTAACTTTTTTTATTTTTCAGGTCGCCTTGATAAACATGTTTATATTAAACCTCCAACTCCTGAAGAAAGAGTGTCTATCCTTAAAGTAATAGGGAACAGAATGAATTTTGCTCAAGATATGAATCTTGAAGAAATTGCTCTAAAAACTGAACATTATACTGGAGCTGATTTAAAAGCGTTAATACAAAAGGCTGCTTTTTTAGCATTTAAAAGGTATCGTCATAATAAATCAATAACAGAGGTATGTGTTACGTCGTCCAATCAATCCATGCACGCAACACATTGTTAAAATAATCTCATCATTTACTGATTATTCTTGTTTTAAATGTGATAGAAAAATATTTGTCACGACGATGTGTTAGAAGCAATCGAGCAAATTAAATGTTCGGTTTCTATTGATCAACTTGAACAATATCAAAGGTTTTCTAAAACCTTGAAATAACAAATTATGTTTGAAAGTACAACAACCACCTGCTTATTATGTAACTCGACATTGAGAAAATTGTCATAATTATCCAATAAAAAAATTCACTTATCATTCACTTCATATAAAATACTAATATAACTTAAGCCTTATGTTTAATATTATGTTGGATTCCTTAATAGAAACGCGCTATCTCACGATGATTTATCTGTTATTAAGTCAGAAAATACGCTTCCATTGATCAAGTTCCATAAGAATAAAATTATTTATGGAATAAACATTATTTTATACGTGACATCATTTGCAGTTAGAGATATTCTCCTTGTGAGTTTTAGGATTTCAATAATACGTTGCTGGTTGGTATTAATCATGCGTGCCTAGGGGTATGTTTCATCACGACGTCACATATCTCCTTACTTATTTATCATGATATCTGGAACATGTTTATTGTATAAAAGTAGGATGAACGAGAGTTTTCCCGCTCCATCTTGCTAGACTGCAGATTTTATTATGTGATTCCATCATAGCTAATCTCCTTTCAGGATAATATTAGCAAGTGAAAACACAAACCAAATCATTGATGTCAAGGAGACATGTTTAATGTCGGTAGGACCTCGGCCTTTTTTTTAGATTAGCGTTATCCCAAAAGATTTCTTCAAGTGAACTTTTCAAAATCTTAGAAGCAGAAAGTAGTTATACATATCTATCAAGATGGTAGTGATACAAATATGAACTTTCTGAGGAACGGAACGATGTCCCATTCCCGAGAAGTACGACATTTCCTCTCTTTAGGTTGTGCGACAGCAGAAAGAATGTGAAATGCAAATACTGAGGATCGACACTCCAATATCCCTCAGATCGCATAGATCTCACCCCTATATAAAGTGTGCGTGGTAATATTAACAATTTCAAATACGTTATGACTCAGTTTCCAAACGTAACGTTCTTTTATTTATTATTAAAAAAAAAAATTTTTTTTTGTAAAGTATTCTTCAAAAAGTAAACCAACTTCAGATGGTTCACTTTACAAAAATTCTTTCTTTAAATAGGTAATCCGAAGCAGACTTTTTTTTTTTAAAAAAAAAAAAAGATTATTCGACCAAATCGTCCGCTTTATATACGATTTTGCTACCATTTTTTTTTTAACAAAATGGCGGCTTAACGGATTTTCATAATCCGGAAAGCCCTTTATATTAATATCGGAAATTCGTTTATCTGTATTTATTAGCATGGAGCAAACAATTAGAAACCATTTGTTATCGAATGACTCGTCTTAAGTCACAAACTCAATCTACGCCTAACTAACGTAGAAGAAATGTAATGAATGCAACCAAAAAAAAGTAAAAAATTTCAATGAGATTCAAAGACTTATATAATGAATTTCTTAAATTTAAAAAAATCTTCGTTGCGACATAAGGAATTATCCAACTAAGATCATCATGGCACCGGAGATTTTCCATATTAAGGTGTGTAAATGGCTATGTAGGAAATTTTGATAGGTAGAAGGTCTTTTTTTGGAATCAAGATCATGGTCTTCGCCCTCCGATCGTTATAAATGCACCTGAAGGAAATGCAGCACTCTAATTTAAACAAAGGACAAACTAGTATTTATAGATCAGTATCGGTAATGAAAGTCCAATTATGTCGTCAGATATTGGTCCCATTCCATCCAGTGTCGCAGTTCTTTAAACGAAATGCGTTATTTTAAAGTTTGGTAAGCAATTTGATAATTAGTTTTTAGTTACTAAAAAAAATTCGACGACCTTGATAATTGTAAATTGATTAACGTATTCTAATCGGTGATTTGTATGGTTGGACCGGTCCGGTCCTAAGACCGGTCTTTACCATTCGGCCCTACCAGTTCGGTCTGGTCCATTTCCAGATCAATTCCAGATCGGACTGAATCGACCGAAAACCGCCAATCATATCGAAGGTACAAATGAGCACAAATTTTGATTGATCGGATTGATCTTGTCAAATATGGTTGGGTTTATTCTGCAATATGAATTATAAACGACGAATATATTATAATGCGTTATGGTTGCAAATTCTTTTAGGTGAAGGTGAAAGTTTCGAAGCAAGAAAGACAACTTCAATCAATTTTACAATTGTAGAATAAGGAAATATACAATGGGCTGAAATCCACAGGATTACAAAGATTTTCCTTTCTACTATATATTATCAATATACTAATACGGTAAGTAGAAAAAAAGGGTGGTCATCCAAGGAAAATCACCGGCAAAGTATACGAAGAAATACTTCAATACTAACAAGGGCTTTGGCCAAGAAATTATGCCATCAGGGCCTTGAAGTGTCCCATATGACAATCTCAAGGCATTTAGCTGCCAATGGTTATAAAATCTCTTCCAAGGGCTTACTGTTGTTCATAAGCAAAATGTATCGAAGAACATACAGCTAATTTCAAAAGTTGCGGGACATGTAAAATTTTAGTTTATCGGCACTGTCGGATTGTTCGGAAATGTCGGAAATGTCGATGCCAATCAAATGATTAGAAATTTCTCGGCGTCCAATCAAATTACAGTATTAGCGCCAAAAATCGCCACGAATATTTTTTTTTTAAAATTCTATTATAGGTGGACATAAACAAATGAGACAAATTGAACGGAAGTTTAATGAACTATTCATTGTTAAAGTTAAAATAACGTGAGTAAAAAAAAATTGGATACGTATTTATTTATATTTGATTGGTGCTAACTAGAGACCTGCATAAGTCCAAATTTTGAAGCCCGACCCGGACTTTAAGCCAAGAATTAAAATGCCGGCCCGGGGTTAAATTCGTGTATTAAATTGCCAGCCCGGCCCGGCCCGGACTTAATTATAATTATTTGCGATGCTAAATTTAACAATTAAAAGATTTTATTTTTATTTAACAAATTACAAAAATAAAACATGTAATTTTTTTATAATTTTTTACTTGGATCTATGATTGCGATTCCATCACAATCATCTGCTTCACCAGACTCTTTTAATCAATAATTTCGATCTTCTTTAAGTTTTATGATAAATTAAAAAAAGTAAAATTCCTTTGTTCAAATAATATCATCGTAATTCGTTATCCCGTGAGTAGCGAAAGAGCACAATAACTAACATTTGAGCAATTTATAAACGATTGTTCTAATGATGAGAAAACTAGAGAAAGATTTACTTCAATTTCAAAGACTTTGTTGAGGCATGGAAATCATCATTATCATCAGAAGAATATAACGTAATTATACTCGTTACATTTAATCCCTTACAAGAAAATTTTAAAAATTACAAATGGGATGATGAGATTCTCCAAAATAGCTATCGTAATCTTTTCCTCTGACCATGGGTGTGATAACGACCAATGCTTCATACAGTGAAAATCATAATAATTATGATTTCGCTTCTAAACTTACGATCTGTTTCAGATTTGAGAAAATGGAAATGCTACTTAACGACAACTACTAATTATAACTAACTATTTTGCCATACAAAATATTGTTTCATTAAACTATTTTTTTATTTCTGATTTTCTTACTAAAGCAAAATTGTACACGACAACTATTCGATTTCTTTTTTTTAGCGCAGTAAGAAATTTTTATTATTTTTATTATAATGAATAAACATAAGAGTACTATATAATATAAAAATGCAATCAGTGGTGGATAAATTTTAATTAAATAATGATTTTTGCCAGATTTATAAAAAATCCGGGCTGGCACCTTGAACCCGGACCCGGCCCGGAAATTCTAAACTTATTATTTGCCGGCCCGGACCCGGCCTCTAGTGCTAACTGAATTGGCGCCGAGAAATTTCTAATCATTTGATTGGCACCGACATTTCCGAACAATCCGACAGTTCCGATAAACTAAAATTTACACGTCCCAACTCTTCCAGAATACTCCGATACGCCCCATGCCAAAAGACAGAACAAAAATTTTTGCATAGGGCGGGTTTTGCTTACAGCTAATTTCATAAGTTACGGGACAGCCGAGAATATCCGAGACTTTTCCGAGAACATTTATAATGAATTGGAAAAAGCCAACCACATTTATATATGGTAAAAAAAAAATATGTCGCTATATTCGGAACACTGATCTGAACGTAGCGATTATGTTTTTACTTCAAAAAATTCTATACCGAGTTTTACCGAGTTTTTTTTTATCGATCTGCAAAATGATCGTCCGTCCCGTGACTTTTGAAATTAGCTGTAACCGGTTAATAATAGGTATTTATATTTATTGTATATTTTAAGATATTGTATTAAAATATACTTTGTACTCTTATGTTGAAATATTATTATCAAATAGATTTGTAAGAGCAAACTTTAGCTATAGAAAGTTCAAATACACAGATATGATTTTATAATCTTTATTATTTCTTTATATACTTAATTAATATTGATTATTATTTTAATAATAAATAAAAATGAATCTTTAAAGAAGAATTAGACTAAAATACTTAATCTATATAATAATAAATTAATAAATATACAGATTAATAGATTTTAGATTTAATATAATCATCAGAAATTAAACAAAATGTTAATCTACTAAAAAATTTTCTTTTATAATAAATAAATATAAGTAAATACTTGCAAAATTTTGATAGAGTTATTATAATTAAAAGCAAATAATATAATTGCATTAAGATATTAAAAAGAAATTAGCATAATAATAAAAAATTTCTATTTATTAATTATACTTAATATTTATATATTAAAAACAAATTATTAAATACATTTTAAGATACATTAAAGTGAATATAATAATATTTAAATATTATATAATTGTAAATTATATTTCATTTTTATTTTACTAAAAATTAGATTTATCAATTTATAATATAAAATTTATTTTAATTAATATAAGTAAATATAATAAATAAAATTATTAAAGAAAAAGATATTAAAAAAAAATTAAACTTAAATTAATAATAAAAACTATTTTAAAAAACATTAAATTAAAAAAATTACAATATTAAAATAAATAAATCAAAAAAATATAAAAAAAAATATAAAAAAAATATTAATA